TATATATATATATATACCACCAGGCATTATGTTATGTATCTGTTTATTTACTTTCTTGGCATTTGTCTCTCTCACTAGCCCCAGGAGCAAGAACAGTTTTCTTCACTGATGTACTTTGTGGACCTGGCACACTGACTAACCCAGAGAGATATCCAATTAACACTGATTCAAAGAGTATGTTGTTGTTGTTATTTGCCGTCCAATTAACACTGATTCAAAGGGTATATGAATGATAAATTTGGATCATTTGCATTTATAACCTCTATTTTCCCTATATAGGAGCTCTGGTGGTGTAGTGCCTAAGGCATTTGACTGCTAACCAGAAGGCTGGTGGTTCAAACCAACCAGCTACTCCTCGGAAGGAAGGTTGGCCAATCTACTTCCGTAGTGATACTGCCTCGGAAACCCAAGGAGGGGTCATTATGAGTCAGATCCAACTCCACAGCAGTGGTTGGTTTTGGTTATTTTCCCTATATAGAGAATTATCTAGATGGTTATTATCAATTCAAGTCAGAAAACTCAACCTCTGTTTGTTATATGCAACATGAAAAATCATTTTCTTACTCACCTTCAGCTTTTTTACTCTAGTAGCAACTAAAGCATTTATTGGTATAACAAGCAGAAGGACTGCAACCCCTGCTAACACTGCCGAGCCCAGTTCTTGCCAAAGTAGTGATATGGCCATCAGGATTTGAAAAGGTGCTGACCAGAGAAGATTGAGGTTTGCTGTCAAGTCCATGAGCTGCTGGGCATCTGCTGACATCAAGTTAATAATTTCCCCAGTGGAAAACTTTTTTCGAGAAACACTAGATAAAAGTAAGGCCTAGAAAAAAAGAAGCAAAAAATTGTAAAGATTTCTATAAGTGATGAGGCATCTTTATATTCAAACAATGTTAACTTTGTTAATTGTTAATTGTTAAACATTGTTAACAATGTCTAATATGTATATAGGAAAATTTACAAGGTTATTTATGTATTTGTCATTAATATTAAAGGACCTTATTTTAAGATGAGGAAATACAATTATTTTACAAAGTACATGGTTTTACAATTCAGTATGTATTGGTAGAGGATAATATGTGGATTTCCAACAAAATATGCTCACCAACAACCCTCTACAATTTGTTAATTACAATGCTAGATGTTATGAAGCCATTCATTTATTGGCAGGACTCTAATGTTAAACAATCTAAATATTACTGATGCAAAGTTCATACATGAATCAATGAATATCTGAGTAATTCATTATATCTATGTTAGATACTGTGGAAGATTAAAACAAGGACAGTCACATACACACACTATATGTCTAGAGTCTTTTTATTTAGAAAAGCAATTTGGCCTTGTGGTCCTGGTCCCAAGGCCCAACCAGTAGCTGACTGTTAATGAATTGGATGGTGGGGCTCACTAGAGACTGAGAAAAAGAACACATAGGCTTAAGTGGGGCTTCCTGATTGACTAGGAGACAAAGATCCAGGAGAGGAGCATGTTCTTGAACAACTGAGGTCCTTTGCTATGATCCTTCCAGACTTAGTAAACCTGGGACAGCAACAGAGGCAAAGGCTGTGGCAGTTCCAGAAGAATTGGAGACAATGAGCAGATACAGAAGGCAGCAGAATGTAGACTGAAGCTTCACTAAGAGTTGAGAGAAGTGACCAATAGCCAAGTGTACCAAGGGATCTCATTGAGTTTACCATTTGAAAGTTTCCCGATGGGTGAGAATGAACACTGGTTTTGGGGAAGGGTATTGCTGTTATGTGCCATAGAATTGGCTCTGACTCATAGTGACCCTGTGTACAACATAATGAAACACTGTGAAGTCCTGTGTCATCCTCCAAATTGTTGCTATGCTTAAGCCCATTATTGCAGCCACTGTGTCAATCCATCTCATTGGGGGTCTTCCCCTTTTTCACTGACCTCTATTTTATCCAGTACTTCTCCAGGGACTGGTCTCTTCTAACAACATGATGAAATTAGGTAAAATGAAGCTTAGCCTTCTCTCTTCTAAGGAATATTCCAGTTGCACTTCTTCCAGGACAGATAAGTTTATTCTTCTGGCAGTCCATGATATTTTCAACATTCTTCGTCAATACCAAAATTCAAAGTCACCAACTCTTCTTCCTTCTTCCTTATTCATTGTCCAGCATTCACATGCATAGGAGGAGACTGAAAATATCATGGCTTGGATTAGATGCACTTTAGTCTTTAAAGTGACATCTTTGCTCCTTAACACTTTAAAGAGATCTTTTGCAGCAGATTTGCCCAGTTCAATATGATGCTTGATTTTTTGAATGCTGCTTCCATGAGCACTGATTGTGGATCAAAGTAAAATTAAATTCCTGACAACTTCAATCTTTTCTTCAGTTATTGTGATGTTGCTTAATGATCCAGTTGTGAGGATTTTTGTTTTCTTTGTGTTGAGGTGTAATTCATATTGAAGACTATAGTCTTTGACTTTCATCAGCAAGTGCTTCACATCATCTCCACTTTCAACAAGCAAGGTAGTGTCAGCTGCATGTTGCAGGCTATTAATGAGTCTTCCTCCAATCCTGATGACTCCTTTTTCTTCAAATATTCCATCTTCCCAGAACACTGGCTCAGCATACAGATTGAACAAGTATGGTGAAGGGAAACAACCCTACACACACCTTTCCTGATTTTAAACCATGCAGTACCCTCTTATTCAGATTGAATGACAGCCTCTTGGTCTGTGTACAATAAATAGGGATAAAGGGATGTAAAATGTGATGTTTTGGAGTGGTCCCAGCACAATGCTCAGTGTCTAACAGGAGACCCACTTACATCACATAAAAGACCTGTTTACCCTTTCCCAACCACCACTCATTTGACTGTCTATTGTTACACTGTGGTGGCTTGTGTGATGCTGTGAGGCTGGAAGCTATGCCACTGGTGTTTCAAATACCAGCACAGTTACCAATGGTGGATGGGTTTCAGTGGAGCTTCCAGACTAAGACAAACTGGAAAGAAGGATGGAGCCATTCACTTCAGAAAAAACTAGACACTGAAAACCTTACAAATAGAAGTGAAACACTGTCTAATGTAGTGATGGAAAATGAGACCATCAGGTTAAAAGGTACTCAAAATATGACTGAGAAAGAGCTTCCTCTTCAAAGTAGAGTCGACCTTAATGATGGATGGTGCAAAGCTTTTAGGACCTTCATTTGTTAATGGGGCATGTCTCAAAATGGGAAGGAATAGCTGCAACCATTCACTAATAATTGGAACATGGAATGTACAAAGCATCAATCTAGGAAAATTAGAAATTGTCAAAAATATAATGGAACTTATAAAAATCAATATCCTATGCATTAGTGAGCTGACATAGATGGGTATTAGTTATTTTGAATGAGACAAACATAAGGTCTGCTATGCTGGGAACAACAAATTGAAGAGAATTACATCACATTCATCATCAAAAAGAATGTTTCAGATCTATCTTGAAGTACAATGCTATCAGTGATAAGATAATATCTATACATCTACAAGTAAGACCAGTTAATACTATTATTATTCAAATTTATGTAACAACCACTAAAGCCAAAGAGTAAAAAATTGAAAGTTTCAACTTTTGCAGTCTGAAATTGATGAATCACATAATCAAGATGTATTGACAATTACTGGTGATTGGAAAATGCAGAAGTTGGAAATGAAGAATTATCAGTAGTTGTACAATAACGGCCTTGCTGATAGAAATGATGCCAGAGATTGCATAACAGAATTTTGCACAACCAAAGGCTTATTCACTGCAAATACTTTTTCTCAACAACATAAATGGTGACTATACATATGAACCTCACCAGATAGAATGCACAGGAATCAAACTGACTACATTTGCGGAGAGAGGCAATGGAAAAGATCAGTATTATCAGTCAAAACAAGGCCAGGAACTGACTGTGGAAAAGACCATCAATTGCTCATATTCAGGTTCAAGTTGAGGCTGAAGACAATTAAAGCAATCCAGAAGAGCCAAAATAGAACCTTGAGTATATCCCACCTGAATTTAGAGATCATCTGAAGAACAGATTTGACACATTGAACACCAATGACCAAAGACCAGATGTGTTGTGAGATGATATCAAGAACATTACACATGAAGAAAGCAAAAGATCATTAAAAAGACATGAAAGAAAGACCAAAATGGATGTCAAAAGAGACTCTGAAACTTGCTCTTGAATGTAGAGTAGTGAAAGCAAATGGAAGAAATGATGAAATAAAAGAACTGAACAAAAGATTTCAAGGGATGGCTCGAGAAGACAGAGTATTATAATGAAATGTGCAAAGAGTTGGAGTTACCAAACTAACAGGGAAGAAAATGCTCAGCATTTTACAAGCTGAAAGAACTGAAGGAAAAAATTAAGGCTCTAATTGCAATATTGAAGGATTCTATACGCAAAACATTGAATGATGCAAGAAGCATCAAAAGACTATGAAAGGGATACATAGTCACTATACCAAAAGGAATTGGTTGATATTCAACCATTTCAGGAGGTAGCATATGATCAAAAACCAATGGTATTGAAGGAGGAAGTCCAAGCTGCACTGAAGAAAATGGTGAAAAACAAGACTCTAGGAATTCACGGAATACTCATTGAGATACTTCAACAAACAGATGCAGCACTGGAGGCACTTGCTTGTTTATGCCAAGAAATTTGGAGGACAGCTACTTGGCCAAATGACTGCAAGAGATAGATATCTGTGCCAACTCCAAAGAAAGATGATCCAACAAAACGTGGAAATTGTTGAGTAACATCATTAGTATCACACACAAGTGAAAATTAGCTGCAGATTATTCAAGAGTTGCAACAGCATATTGAGAGGGAACTCCCAGGATTTCAAGCAGGATTCAGAAGAAGACATGGAATGAAGAATACCATTGCTTATGTCAGATGGATGTTTACCTCTGTTTTACTGACTATGCAGAAGCATTCATGTGGATCATGGATCATAACAAATTGTGGATAACATTGCAAAGAATAGGAATTCCATTCTGTGGTTATTCCATTGAATTACTGACCCCAGTAGAGAAGGAGTGCCATGGAGGGAGTGGCTTGTCAACATTGTCCTTTCAGTTGGTGTTCAAGAAAATTCTCCCATTTAAACATACATACTTGTATGTACACTCCCTCTCATATAGGCCAACTGTAAGTGCAAAAACAACTGATAAGGGCCATGGGAATTTAAAAAGATAAGATTATTGGAAAAGCTTTATGGACCAAATAGGAATGCATATTTTCTTCTAAAGTTCAAATCTTACTTTCCACCTGTGCATATTATTTCATTGCTTGTATATTGAATCCAGTACTCCCCAAAGCACAATACTCAATAACTTCTTACTAAAAATGCTGAAGAAATTCATTCCGCTAAGAATGCTGATAGAATAATTCCCTATTCATTCCACACTCCTGTTGAAATGCATAAATAACTATAAAATAGTAGGAAATTTGTATCTGTACTGGAATAAAGACATAAATTCCATTCATATGCCAAATATTTTATGTCATTTCCATTAAGTTGATATAAAGAAAGATTAAGAATTAGGACTGACAAGTGTAAAAGGTATAATGGAAGCACTCAAAATCTCTAATAAATGAACAATTCATAGGAAAAGCAAAAAAGCCCATCTGAAAATAAGTAGGCAGGTCTCTTAGTGAAACTCAGCTAAAACATGGCCCAACTTGTAGCAAGAGGGTTTTAAAGCAAGGGAGGGCCATGACACTGACAAGAAGGAGCGCACAACTTTTAGAAGTTCACAGGGGGCCAACATCGCTAGCATGGGGTTCTTGGAGTGCTGCAGTATCCAAT